GCAATGCCCCGAGGGGGGAACCCCTCTGCTGGGAGCCCAGCAGGAGAGAGTTGGGCTTGGGCAGCCTGCAGAGGAGAAGGCTCCAGCTGGGGAGACCTCCTTGGGGGCCTGCCAGAAAGCTGGGGAGGGACTTTTGAGCAGGGCCTGTTGAGACAGGACAAGGGGAGATGGTTTGAAACTGAAACAGAGAGATTGAGACTGGAGAGGGGAAAGAAATGTTTGAGGGTGTTGAACCCCTGGCCCAGGTTGTCCCGAGAGGTGGTTGCTGCCCCATCCCTGGAACCATTCCAGGGGAGGTTGGCCGGGGCTCTGAGCAACCTGCTCTAGTTGAAACTCATGAATGGTCTAGAGCCCAGGTGTGGTGAGGAGCAGCTGGGGGTGCTGAGCCTGGAGCAAAGGAGGCTCAGGGGAGACCTCCTGGCTCTCCACAGCTCCCTGACAGGCTGGAGCCAGGTGGGGGTCGGGCTCTTATCCCAAGCAACAAGGGACAGGACAAGACGAACCGGCCTCAAGTTGCCCCGAGGGAGGTTGAGGTTGGCCCTGAGGAACAATTTGTTGCCCTGGAGGGTTGTGCAGGTCTGTGCCAGGCTGCCCAGGGCAGTGGTGGAGTCCCCATCCCTGGAGGGGTTTCCAAGCTGTGGAGATGTGGTGCTGAGGGACATGGGTCAGTGAGGACCTGGCAGTGCTGGGGGATGGTTGGACTCAGCAGTGTCAAAGGTCTCTTCCAACCAGTGATTCTCTGATTCCATTCTATGTCCCTGCCCATGGCAGGTGGGTTGGAACTAGATGACCGTCAAGGCCACTTCCAACCCAAACCATTCCATGATTCTATAAAGCAGTGGAGGCTTCTTGCTGCCGGACCCCTGCTGGTTCCTGCAGCACTGCTGGGCTCTGCCACACCTGGCATGTCAGGGACGATCATTTCATCTGGACTAACCTCACCCCAACTCTTTCACCACCATCAATGTTTCCAGGCAATACCTGTAACTCCCTGACCTTCACCCTGAACCTGGTGGCCTGTTCCCCTCCAGCAGCACCTCAGGAGCCCAGCTCCATGGCCAAGGATCCCTTTTGAGAGCAGTTTGTAGCGCAGGGGCAAGCCTGAAACCTGCTGCTACTCCCATTTCCTCATCTTGTACCTTTCCAATGTGTCTGTGCCCACAGCGTTTGAGACCTGGGCAAGGAGAAGGTCTGAGCCTGTTCTCTGGGTGCCAGAGACCAAACCTCTCAGATGTCCTGGTTCTGCTAAGGGCACTTTGATACAGGCAGGAGAAGGTCCTGCAGGGTTTCTGGTGTCTCGTCCAGCTCCAAATGGCTTTTCTCTGTTCCTGCAGATGGTGACCCTCTTCCAGATGTGGGTGGTGCCTCTGTATTTCACCATCAAGCTGAACTGGTGGCGGTTCCTGGTGATCTGGGTGCTCTTCTCAGCAGTCACAGCTTTTGTCACCTTCAGGGCGACTCGAAAGCCTCTGGTGCAGACAACACCCAGGTTAGTATCCGTGGGCCTGGGGAAGATTCCTCAACCCTGGGGCAACCATTCCAAGGAGCTCTTTCCAGTTTTGCTGGTCTTCAGCCTGACACCCCAGGGTGTGCAACCCCTGCCCACGGCGGTTGGCATGAAGCATGAACCAGCTGCTGGCAGCCACACAAGTGGTTGGTGGAAAGGTGGAGACCACGAGGGCTGAAATCTTCTTGAGGGCATTCCCAGCTTGCTGACAGCCCTGGCAGGTCCCAAGATTTCTAGTTTGGGAATCAATACTGTGAGCAGCCTGTGGCAGTGATGGACCTGTAGGATGAGTCGGGATTGTAAAGCTCTGATGTCTGGGAGTATGGGGAGGTGAAGTGATTGAACAGGATGGAGGGATGGGCTGAGGCCAACGGGATGAGTTTCAACAAGGCCAAGGGCCAGGTCCTG